CGAGGAATTTGGGAGTGTGGGGCAGCGGGATGGGGGTAACCCTCCCCCTGCTCACCCTCCCGCCCTTCCCAGAGCCGGAATCCATCTGGAATTCCACCCCGGTGTTGGTCGCTGTGTCCGTCATTGCTGCCATCATCGTCATCATCGGCCTCATCGCAGTCGGTGTCTGGAAGCTCCGAGCCGGTAACTCACGGGATGGGGGTCGGGAAGGGGCCCGGATCCGCCCGGCAGCATTCCGGGGATCCTGTGCCACAGGTGCTGATCCCGCTTTCTTTCCATAGGGAAGGGAAAGGGCAATGGATACGACCCCGCACCCACCAGTGAGTACCAGCAGCGTGGGTGGATCCAGATCCTCCCTGCAGGGATGCCACGATGGATCCCGGGATTCCAGAGGGGAATTGGGCCATAATGGATGGAGCGGGATTGGAGTGGGATTGCAGTTCAGGGCAGGATTGCAGAGTGGGATCAGGTGGAATTGTGAGCTGGGGTCAGGGCTGGATTCTGGAGTGGGATTGGGGTGGGATGGACGGAGCAGGATCAGGAGGGAATCCGGAGCAGTTGCTGCTCTCCATGGGCTCCCCAGCTGGATCCATCCCCTGAGATGGGAACAGGGACATGGGGACTCCTTTCCCCATTCTTATCCCAGCAGGAATCACAGCCTGAGTGATCCCAGACCTGGATCTGCTCCTTCCCTGTCCCTGCGGAAAGGCAGGAGCTGCTGGCAGAGCTCATCCCGCTGCTCCCTCCCAGCCCGGCCCCCCTGCGGCTCTTGCTGATGGATCAACTTCCTGCTTTTCCATGTGTGAAACCCAGGAGAACAATTATTGCTGATGCTTTAATTGTGGTGTGAAAATCTCCTGCTTTGGGCAATAAATCCTGGTTCCCTCCTCTGGCATCCGGCAGTTCCTCTCTGGGAACCAGGAATGGGAATGGGGACAGGGAGGACTGGGATGGGGACACTGGGAGCAGGTTGGAGTCACCAAAGTCTGGGAATGGGAACATCAGGACCAGCAATGAGAAAAGGGACATGGGAGACCAGGATAGGGACAGTGTGGACAGGAATGGGGACAGTGGGAACAGGCTGGGGACAGCAGGAACTGGGAATGGGGACAGGAATGGAAATGGAGACACAGATGGGAACCCCGGGAGTGAGAATGGGGATAGAGACCAGAACAGCAGGAATGGGAATGGGAACAGGGATGAGGACACCAGGAATGAGAATGGGGACAGGGATGGGGACACTAGGAATGGGAATGGGGACAGGGATGGGAATGAGGACAGCAGGAATGGGAATGGGAACAGGGATGGGAAGGTGTCTCTCCAGAAGCTGGTTCAATACAAAGGTCGGTCCCTCACTCGAGGAAGCCCCTTCTTTGGGAATGTCTGGGAACCAGGTGTCAGAGGTTTGCAAAGAGCTGCTGGAATGTTTTCCCAGTGTCGCCCCCCATTCCCCCCATCCGTGTGTCTGGGATGGGGTGGGGATGGAGCCGCAGGCGCTGGGCAGTGGCAGTGGGGACAGGGCAGCTCTGGGGACACCGCGGTGGCCGCGGGGAGGGCCAAAGGGGAGTCCTTTGTTCGGGGCTCTGGGGCTTTGGCCGGCCCTGCCCAGAGCAGAGCCCGGTTTTCAGCCGCCTCTTTCGGGAAGTTTTGTTTCCCCGCGGGACACCTCGTGCAGGACGAGTGAGAGAGAGACCGACCCATCTCGGAGCGAGGGGTTCTGCTTTGGGACTGCCTGGGGGACAAAAGGCCCTTTCCAGGCTGGCTGTGAGAGCTTTGACCTGCGGGAACAGCCCTGCCTTTCCCCTGCCCCTGCCCGGCTTGCCGCGGGTTTCTCCCCCACCTGGGCATTCGGGACTTGGTTTGGTTTCTTTGGAAAGGTTTTGGTGGCACCGTTTGTTGTTTGTTCAGCTTTTGGGAATAAAAAGCTGTTTCTTTTCCTTTCCCACACTTCCACCTGAAGTCTCTTCATTTTGAAGTTGTAATCTTGGTAAACTGAGACACCAGGTGTGGAGAATCCCCGGCCCTGGAACCTGTGGGTCAGCTCTCAGCATTTCACTCCCAGGAAACAATTGGATTTAGGGAAACTCGGAGTAAATATGGGCTTGGACTTCCTTCTGGTCAATATTTCCCGATTCTGGGAATAAATCCCGATGTTCCTTCTGGCAAAACTGCCGGATCTCCGTCCCTGCTGGAAAACCAAGTGTGCCACGGGGGAGGCTTCTCCGGAGGAAAAGGGAAAAGGGAAAAGGAAAGGTGGCCTTTGGGGCTGTCCCTGCAAACCGGGCAATCCCCTCCGGAATCAGCTTTAATGACCCCCTCGGACATGGCCCAGGAACCAGAGAGGCCCTGGCTGGGAAAAGGGAAGAGTGAAGATTGAAAGCAAAGAAATAAAAAGATATCAAGAAATACATCAAATTATATATTCAAAGAAAAAAATTATACATATAATTAAGTAAAATTATATAAATGGATAAAAGTAATTATAGAAATAAATAAATCAAATTACAGAAATTATTAAATAAACAAATAATTAAAATTATATCAACAAAGAAATCAGATTATATATCCAATAAATCAAATTATATAAATCAATAGATGAAGTTATATATGTTAATAATTAAAATTATATAAAAATTAATTACGAGTAAATAAAGAAATGAAAGATAAACTAATGGTAAAAATTAAAGAAATATATAAAACTATTTAAGGAAGTAAATAAAATTATATATTCAAAGAAACAAAATTATATATATACAATTCAATCAAATTATATAAACAGATAAATCAACTTATATAAAGTTGTATAAACAAAGACATTAGATTATTTATGCTGATAAATAATATATTATAATATATAATTGAATAAATCAAATTATATACCCTAATAACTAAAAATATATAAACAAATAACTAAAATCAATTAAATAGAATTAAATAAGCTAACGGTTACAATTAAACAATTAAATAAAACTATGTAGACATATAAAAACTAATAAACAAACTAAAATTATATAAAAATGAATGAAATTATAGATGCTAATAAATAAAATATGACCAAATAAATAAAATTATATAAAGAAATATTTAAAATGTTAGAACAAATAATTAGATACAAGTACATTAAATTATATAAACAAATATAATGATAAACAAATAACCTTATATAAACAGATGAATGAAATTATATATGCTAATCAATAAAATTATATGATTAAATAAAATTGAATAAAAATATTGAAAATTATAAAACAAATAATTGAAACATTCTTCACAATTGAAAATTTAAAAATATATTAATTATATAAGCAAATAAATAAATTAAACAAGCAAATAAATGACTTGACAAAATTATATAAAACAACAAAATGAATTATAGAAATAAAGAAACAAATAATTAATATATAAACAGATAAAAATAAATACTATTAAAGAAATAGATAAATAAATAAAATATAGAGACAAACAAGGAATAAATAAGCTGTAGAAATAAACACATAACAACAAGAAAATAATACAATATACAAATAATTACCAGAATCTAACAAATCCGTAAAACCAATGAAACCAAACCAAGAGCCTCGCTCAGCACTGAGGCCCCGGGGGTGACTCCAAAAAAACAGCCGGGAAGAACCTCACCGGGGGGTCTTCTTTACACTGCCCTGTGTAAATAGAATGAAATACAGAGAATAAAATAAATGAAATAAAATACCTGCGCTGAGGGGTTTCCACCGCCTGGTACCTAAAAGAGCTGCACCGAGGGAGCACCGGGGCGGCCCCGGGGGGTGTGAGGGAGCGATGAACGGCCCCGAGGGGCCTCTGCTGCTCCATCCACTGAAAGTGCGGCCCCGGGGGACGAGTGGGGTGGGGATCGAATAAAATACAGAGAATACAGTAAAATAAACAGAATAAAAAGCTGCCGGCCCGTGTCACCGAAAGAGCAGCCCCGAGGGACGGGCGGGAGTCAGAGAGTCTCCAACACAAAGCTGGTACATTTACCCGGCTTGGCAGAGCCAGCCTGCCTGGATAGCAGCAGCTCAACCCACCGACACCCTGCAAAGCTCTGCCCGGGCCAAGCTGGCCGCTGAGCGCCCACCGGGGGGTGTTTAAGGCAGTGCCCAGCGTTGCCCGAGGGGCCGGTCCAGTGCAGGCGGTGTTGCCCAGGGTCCCGTGCTGGCCGCGGGCCCCACTGCTCGCTCTGTCCTGCTCGTGTCCCACCTGCCTGGGTGTCCTGGTTGTCTCGGATCCAGTCTGCTCACCCCCTGCTTCCCTCCCGCAGCCCTTCTCTGACTGCCTGAGGCTGACTACACCCGCTTCTCTCACTGGTCCCGGTAACTTTTAGCATTTTCCTTTTGCAGCCTTTCCTTTTCCTTCTCTCTCCCTCTCCTCCCCGCCCCCGCTTTTCCCCTCTTACTTGTTGTTATCAAAAAAGCAAATTGTCTGTTTGAGACCTCACGTTTGGAGTTTTGTGCCTTAATGTCGCCCTCGAAGCCATCCCCTAAAGAACCCCATGGCAGCCCCTGACCGGGCTGTAACAGCGGGCGCGGCCCGGCCCGACCCCTCCACCCGCGCCGGGAGCGGCGATGCCCGCGGGCCCGGCCGGGGCCGAGCGGCGGCAGCCGGAGCAGGGGAAGCGGCTGCAGCGGCGGAGACGAGCGGGGTGTTCCCAACCGGGCCCGCTCCGCCCTCGGGCCCCGGGGGGAGATCGGGGGTTGTTCCCAACCGGATCCACCCCACGGACCCCCCAGAACCCCCCACCCCCGGGGCTGCAGCGCCCCAAACGGCATCAGCCAATCAGAAAGTTCCCACTCAGCTCTGGCCAATCAGAGTGCGCCGCGCTGATGACTCATCAGTTGCCGGGAAGACTCGACGCAAAACGAGCCCCAACTTTGCGCTCAGCCAATCAGAACGCACCCAAAACAGCCCCAAAGAGGCCCCACTCGGCGTGTTTTGAGGTGTCAGCACCCGCCCGGCGCTGGGGATGGAGCGTGGGCGGGGAGCTGGGGCCTGGTGGTGCTGGGAGCCCCCCCGGCTGCGGGCGAGGAGCTCTCGGGTGAGCATGGGGGGCGGGAAGGGAGGAAAGAGGAAAGAAAAGAGGGGATGGGAGCCCCAAAAGTGAGTGCGTGGGGGCTTGGAACCACCGGAAGTAATGGGAGAGGAGTGGGAGACCCACACTGAGTGCAGGTGGGTCTGGGGATTGTGGGGACGGTGGGAAAGGGGTGGGAGAGGGGGAAAAGTGGGGTGGGAGAGCAGGAAGAGGGGTACCATGGGGGTCCCTCGGGTCCCCCATCACTGGAGTCCTGCAGCGGTTCCCTTGGGCTTAGGGGGGGCAGGGAGGGGGAGGCAGATCCACACTGGGAGGGGGAGTCCCCAACCCTCCTGTCCATCCTGGGGGGGCTGATGGGGGGGTTCCCCCCCAGCCAAGAGCCGGTGCTGCGGGGGCCGTGGGGCAGAGGGGGGTGGGAAAGGAGGGTCTGGGGTGGCCCCCTGAGCTCCCAACCTGCTTGTGGGGGGCTGGAGGATGATGGGGGTGGGAACAGGGCACCCCCTGACCCGTGTCCTGCACACACAGGGGTGTTCCAGAAGTTGAGAAAG